TAATGTCATCCGTGAGTTTAGAGAGTTTTATGACAAAATCGGCCTTATGACAAGCACTGGTGACAGTTTATACAATGCATCATTCCTGGAACATCGTCCGCCAAAATGTGGTCTAAAACTATGCAGCTTTCGCATCCTGATACACTATAACTTACCCACCTGCCGCTCGCGCCCACACACACAACCACTGCCAATATACATAACCCACCACTAAATATACAACACCATCCTGCGAGCACCAATATTAATAGTAACTTCGATATTGAAATTGCCTGCGGTGAAATGGTTCCAGATGATAGCTTCGCCCTCTCTCGTATTGAAATATAAAATATACTTATGGAAGGTAAGGAGGCCGCTTGTGGAGAGGATGGCATAAAACACAATTTCCTTGTGAGCTCTTGCTGGGCTGCCTAATAGTCCTCTGATAGAACTGTTTCACTAAAGCTCAGGGCAGGGTTTCGTACCTCACTGTTGGACACAGGCACTTATAAACCACATACCCAAGCCCAATCCACAGAATTCACTCATTTTCTTGACATCCTGTATATCCAAAGCTTTTGAGAGGATTATAATCAGCATGTTGATTGTTCACATGAGACACCAGCTTGTATGGTTCTCTCCCAGGGAGAACCACTCACACTTGCATCGTTGAGATAAGCAGGAACCCAAGCTCTCGTGCTGCGTTTATTGACCTCACCACCACGTCTGATACGTCTAACAGAGAGAGAATCATCGAACAATTTGCCTCGTTGGAGTTAAAGGAAGAGGGTTGATATGACTCAGGGAGTACCCGAGCAACGGAACCGCCTCAGTTCTTCTAAAAGATGTTAAAAGTAATAATACTCTCCCTTTAGAGATGGGTACGCCTCAAAATGGAATGCTTAGCCGCCCAATTAATACTTGTTTAAAGTTTCGATACAAAATATATTTTTGGTTTACACACACTGGCTGGCAAATCAGTCATCTGTTAAGCTGATTATGTTTGCATTGTTGCAAATTCCCAAACTCGATTGCAAGCCCGATTATCTTACAACTAAAAGCGTTAAATTCGGCTTTATATCTATAACAAAGTCCAGAACTTCTTTTCCTCGTAAAAGAATAAATGATCGTTTAGCTCTCAAAGTCAATAATCAAAACATTGTAACCTTTTTAGAACAAATTACATCGGAGAAAGTATCTTCAGTCACATTGTGAACTACTGTATCGTAGGCTTAAAGACAGATTTAAACCCTTGAAATCACTTATTGCTTGGTATCAATGTTAAATATGCTTGATTATTTTTCATGTTTAGTTGACCCCTAGATGATTATCATGCCTTGCACCTAATTAACTTACCCACCTCTACTCTGAACAAACTTTAACAAATACTGAGTGAAACCTTTTATGATTCTTGGTGCTCTAAGATACACAAGAATGATTAACATTTAAGAAAACCTTAAGCTTCCCATCTTACTAGAGAGAAGCATATGGGTCAACATGATATTTTACATTGGAAAGAGACAAAATAGTTTGTACTTATTTCTCCACCGAACATTGCTAACACGCCAGCTTAATCCTTGTATGATATAATGTTGAGTAAAATGTCTTCAACCTCACCAAACTGAACCTATTTGCAACCGATCATTCAAGTATCAATGACAAGGATTATGATACTCTTGCTCTTGTAAAACCAGTTAAGCTCAAACAATCGTCTCCTCTATCAAAAACCAAAGGTGTATGAGCATTTTATTGATACTGTTTGGCTCAGTCCAATCATTAACAGTACGCACTGCAGCACCCTGCAAGGTTTACATAAATAATATTCGCACACAATCAGTGGCAAGCAAAAAACTGTCTGAACAACACACTAACAGAACTACAGCCAGCTACCAGTTTACTAAAAAAACACGGGAGGAGGAGCAATTTTCTTTGATCCAAAGCTTGCTCTTCAAACACTTGAAAAACGTCTGCAAGATAAACAACAAGAATCTTATAATATAAATTATAGATAATTTGCTCACAATATAGAATAAAGACTTTAGAATCTCAGGCAAATATATCTTAACATGATGTTACATACATAGCAGCTAATTCTTTGTAGTTACACCAATATTTCTCCAAACATTTAGGTCTGATAGAGAAATTACTGATACACAAAAGCTGGAAAGCACCGTTAGAAAAAGTTAAAATAGTTTTTTATCTGACAAAACGTCTACCAGGGTGATATTAGTTATCGCCAGGATCAGGTTGGACTACCGTTACCGGTGGCAGGTGGGTGCAAGTGGCAAATCTTACAACCCTGAGCACTCCAGGTGCGAACTCTGTGAGCAAGAACTGGATAATATCCTCCAACATTACATCATTTAATATCCCATAATTACGCCGTTTATACCTGCCAGTATGAAGTACCTGGAGTTTGCAATTGCTCTTTCCACTCCCGTGTTCTTGAGAATATCCTTATAATTCATGCAAAACATTTGTTAGTGTAGGCTTCTGTACTGCTAACTCACTGCGAGATATGACCCCTATGTAGCCTTTCACAAAGTCTACGGTAGCCATGACCGCATACTAAAGCATACTACTAAATAAGAAAAAATCCTTACAGCACGGCTTACCCACCCCAGGCCCTTAATGGGCCGTCTCGCAAAGCAAAACACACTTTAAAGTCTTTTTAATCCACATTGTTTCTCCTCTGATTCACTACCTGAGACTTTCTGGGGAGCTGACAGACAGACGCTTGTGTTTTTTGTGTCCGAGTGGATGCTAAATACGTTTTTCCTCTCCGCCGGTCAGCCGAAATGGAGCGAAATTTGCATATGGGAAGCGACAGAGTGCCCGGGAGAGAGTACTCCGGTGATATTGCTGTCTATCTGTGTCTGTCTTTGTCCTTGTGGCTGTGTTCACGGGTCTGCCTGACTGTGTCTGTCTCTACCGCCTGCCTGGCTTCTCTCACGTCTGTCCGTGTCTCTCTGTACCGCCTGTCGACGTTCGTGTGTATGATTGAGTGTGTAGTTTGCAAAATATTATGTACACGACCTGAGATGAGCGCAACTGCTACAGACATAAATTAAGTCCGTCAGGAAAAGTTAAAATGACTTTGAAACTTCTAGATTAAAATTTTAAGGCTGTGTTGAGCCTGTGTGACGAACCTCCTTGTTCAGTTTATGAGTTTAGTGTCTGTGGTGAGTCTTTACCACTACAATCACCACCACAACTGACATCAACGTTACCACCTTAACTATCATCACCAACGCGACCACTAACACCATCATCACCAGCACTAAGTAACACGTCACCATTGAAGCCATTACCAGCTGGCATCACCATCAAAATCATGACCAGCATCACTATCAGTTCCACCATCAGTATACACAACCTTTACCAACACAGCCCTTAATCCTATCCTCGGCATCAACAATCCAAACAAGTGCATCATCACAATTACTACTATTAACATCCCCACCAACAATCACCATCACCATTATCAGCACCAGTAAACCTCCATCATCACTACCACCAGCACACTACCAGGGCGAACCCCCTGATCACTACTTAAGATAGCATTGAAGTCACCAAAATTCATTTATATATATATATATATATATATATATATATATATATATATATATATATATATATATATATATATATATATATATGTGTATATATATATATATATATATATATATATATATATATATATATATATATATATATAATATATATATATATATTATATATATATATTATAATATATATATATTATATATATATATTTATTTATTTATTTATTTATTCATTTATTTATATATATATACAAGAAGGTACATTGGGATTGTGAGGATACATAATATGGTAATTACAATCTTGTAAAGCCACTAGTATATATATATATATATATATATATATATATATATATATATATATATATATATATATATATATATATATATATATATATATATATATATATATATAATTTAATGCTCTCAACATTAGTTGTACCATATCAACCACTATCACTATATCACCACCACTATAATCACCACCACCATTACAATAATCGTCATGACCTCTGAGTCGAGCTCCCTCACAAAGCTGCTGATCACTACTTAATGGTAGCATCGAAGTCTCCCGCCACCATCCCGACAACAACTTGTACTTTATCACTAGTCCTACTGCACTCTCCCTCATTTTTGACATTTATTCTCCATACTCGAGGTGCACTGACCCACTTGCACATAAACACCCGGGCCCAGGTTCGATTCCTGTCGGAAGCGTAAACTAATGTGCTGATTTTCTTTCATCTGATGTCTCGGTTCACCTAGCAGTTAATAGGTACCTGCGAGCTAGTCAACTGTTGTGGGTTGAACTCCTGGAGATATATGTGTGTGTATGTGTGTGTGTGTGTGTGTGTGAGGTAAATATGTAGGAAATAAGAGAAAAATATGTCGGGAGTCAGTACATTAGACAACCGACGCTAGAAAGGTGGAGTCCAAGAGCTAGCGGCTCAATCCTGCAAGTACATAATAAATACAAATAGTAAACACACATTCGCAAAAGGAAACACATGAAGATTAGGATACCAATAGTTATATAAATCTGTGTATATGCAAAGAACTACTATATATATCAGCGGGTCCCCACATACTTCCCCTGCATGACAGAGCGTCACAGACACCGCTGAACCGACAATTCCTTTTCCCTAAAATCAATGCACAATTGTGAATGCACTCTTTATGTGAGTGTGTAAATATGTTTGACTCACCATAGGCTTGCATGTACACAAACAAATCTAAAATCAGTATGAGAGAGATCGAGAGGTCCACCTCAACATACGTTTTGGTCACAATCTATATATAGTGACCAAGGTTTTGGTCACAACCTATATATAGTGACCGATTGTTTATTCACTAGTGTCTCACAGACAGGCCGACAGATCCCAAGACAACTTTTTTAGGTGGCTCGAGAGAGAGGAAGGTTAATCATTGTCTAATTCCACTTCGCTTCTTTTGTTGCAGACAGTGGAGGCAGCTGGAGGCGCCAGGCTGCAAGGTGAAGGATGCTTCTCGCTCTTGACGGCCCTCTCTCACCACTCCCACCTCTCAGCGTCCCCCGCCCTCTTCTCCTGCCCTCTCACTCAAGCACCTCTCAGTCGGCTCCCTGTCATACAAGCGCCTCTCCGACAGACCCCTGTCATACGGACACCTATCTGACGGATCCCTGTTATATAAACACCTCTCCGTCGGGCCCCTGTCATACAAGCTCTTCTCCGACGGAGCCTTTTCAGTCAGGCACCTTTCTGTCCGGTCCCTCTCATACAAGCGTCTCCCCGACGGACCCCTGTCATAGAGGAATCACTCTGTCAGATCCCTGTCTTAGAAACACCTCGTCGGACCCCTTTCATCATACCAGTACCTCTTCGGCGGACCCCTCTCACATAAACAACAAGAGCTGGTGTGACTGTGCTTGCGACAGTGGCACGTCGTCTGACCCTCTCGGACACACCTGTCACTTGCGCCTCTCACCAGCACCGCTCAGTCGCCACTCACACGGAATCCTCTCCCTCATATTCTCTCACAAGCGCCTCTTGCCTTGTCTCTCTCATAATTATTTCTCCTTCAGGCCTCTTCCTTTCACCACTCCTCTCCGTTAATGATATAATCAGGCTTATTCAAACATCGCTTGCGCAAACCTATATTTAAGAGAGAGAGACAGAGAGAGAGAGAGAGAGAGAGACAGACAGACAGAGAGAGAGACTGAGAGAGAGAGAATCAAAGAAGATACTGATCAGGAGTGGACACGACCGCCGTGTTGATGGATGGAGGAGCTAACAGAAGGACTGGTCGTCTGGACAAACACCGCTGTGCTGGCGAAGACACAACCTCAAAAAACCTGGTCGATCTCTGGACGCCGACGATGATGAAGGGGTTTGAGGAATCAGCTATCGTTGAACAGATACAAGACTTTCATCTGTAAGACAACTTGCGGGGGACGCAAATATATGAGATAAAGCTGTAAGCATAGCTTATAGTTATCGTGGTAGAAATGTAGCTCTTATTCTTATATATGATATCGTTAATAAAGACAATGATATCTTGGTTATATATGTATTTGCTTGATTTTGTGCAGTGTATGAAGATAATAGAAAATATTATAGCAGTGAATAATTAAATGCTCGAATCAGTATGGCTATTTCAGTAATATTAGTTTAAAATAATGAGTAAATGATTATAACCCAAAGAAGTGATATGTACGTAATTATATACAATTGTAAATTTAATGGAAAGCAAAAGTACGGTTTCGGAATTTGCCAAACAATATATTTCCTAAATCAAATTGAGACTCTAAGAAATACAAGTCACTGAAGTGTCCTAAAAGAAATCAATTAAACAAATTAGCAAACACAATACTTTTGACAATAGAAGTCAAATCAAAACAATAGCAAAGATGAGACATACGACTACTGATGAGAAACGTCAACAGTGGTGTGGAGAAAACATTACAGAATCACAATGATAAAACTTCAACAATGTAAATCATTCTTAAAACCCTTAAAATCAGCTGACAATTGCCTGTAAAAAAATGTGTTTACTTGGAATACATATGTCGTGATTCGTTGACAGGTGTGGTGATTCACGAACACATGTGTGATGATTCACTAGATTAAGTGTGAACTCAAACTTACAACTTGCGAATCACGCGTGTTAGTGCACAGTCGCGTGTGTTTAAGCTCAGTAAAATAGTGATACTCGAAGACCAAACTATTTTAACAGCAAACCCAAGGAAAAGACATTGCCTTAGTACGCTCTCTCAAGAACTCTACACACACTCCAGTGTCAAACATCTGTAACAACAGAGTCAAGCAAGTGTCAGGTGTCAAGATGGTGGCAGTTCAAGTCCTCCTCATGAACTACTTTCTCCTGGGTCTCCATAACGGCAAACATCTCTCAAATGACGTCCTCTTACCAGGTGAGTTCTAAGTTGATTACAAGTTGTTGTAAGGTGTTGACCAGACCACACACTAGAAGGTGAAGGGACGACGACGTTTCGGTCTGTCCTGATTCTCAGTCGACTTGAGAATGGTCCAGGACGGACCGAAACGCCGTCGTCCCTTCACCTTCTAGTGTGTGGTCTGGTCAACATACTTTAGTCTTGTTGTAAGGTGTCTTCCAAGTCAATTCTAGGTCTGTTCGAAGTATATTCCAGGCTGATCTCATCCAGACCAACTTCCTCACACCCATAAGTAACACCCTCGACATCAATTATACCACCTCCTCTACACCAGGCAAGTTATACCAAACATACCTCAGGTCATCATACCAAGAAGTGGTCTGTGATACTAGGGATGATAACCAGCCCATTATACCGATAAGATCATTGCTAGCATTAAACTAAACTATGAAGCATCTTAGCAATTCACATGTAATTACTCAAACTACTTTCCTGGAACCGGCCAGTAAGGATCTTTCATATCGTTTCCATTACTTCTCCATCCTATCATCCCTCGAACCCCGCCATCCCCTTTTATGTTTTTTTTAATGGCACTTTAGTAATTCTGTGAGTTTGTGAGTCTCGTCTTTAAGGCGGAAGTATGTGATATACCAATATATTATCGCTGTGATATTTTTTATTATATCGATATGATATACGATTTCTTCGCGAGGAAATCTGTCTATGGACGTGAGTATGGTGAATTTTGAACCTACTGGAACAGGTCCATACGTGTACCTGTCAGAGTATGTAGGCACTAATTGTTAGTACATATGTGTTAATTTTAGTAAATATTTACCAGTTCAAACCGGCATTCTGATGTCTATCAGCAGTATAGAAGATTCCGGTGAGTACTAGTGTCAGCCAGTGTGTGGGTCAGTGTCAGCCAGTGTGTGGGTCAGTGTCAGCCAGTGTGTGGGTCAGTGGCAGCCAGTGTAGGTCAATGTGTCTTAATGTCAGCCAGTGTGTGTCAGTGTCAATGTGTGCTAGTGTTAACCAGTGTATGCTAGTACTAGTCAGTGTGTCAGTATCAGCCAGTGTGCGTTAGTATCAGCCAGTGTGTGTCAGTGTCGGCCAGTGACAAGAGACAGTGACAGTGACAAAACATATATATGGCGGAAAACGGAGTTATCATCACCGTAGACTTATACACGATTTTTCATTTCTTAAAAAAAAAATAGTTTCACATTTAAACACTTCCACCGTAACACTGGAGCGAGCTCTAGTGCCTGGTCTCCGCCTTTGCATCTGTCCTCGTCTAAATATAATATATGCTGTTTATTTACATTGTTTCACCCATTTCATTTTTTTTGCTTATCCATCTGTCAATTGCGTCATCTATATTTCTCGTTTCGTAAATCTATTGTTTTCTTTGTTATTAACCCTTTTATCTGTGTCGTTTTGTGGCTCTGTCGTTGCATCTGTTAAGTGTTATGTTTCTATGTAAACCCATCATTTTGTATAGGTTCATTAATATATTTATATATACCTCTCTCTCTCTCTCTCTCTCTCTCTCTCTCTCTCTCTCTCTCTCTCTCTCTCTCTCTCTCTCTCTCTCTCTCTCTCTCTCTCTCTCTCTCTCTCTCTCTCTCTCTCTCTCTCGGGCTTGGAGTAGTATACAGTACGTGTTGTAAGGATGGAGGAAGGCAGGAGACGGAGAGAGGGAGAGTTGGAGGATGGTAGGGAGAAAGGGAGGGAAGGAAGGGGGTGGGGTGGAGGGAGTGAAGGCGGGGTGGGGTGGTGGGAGGGAGGGAGGGAGGGAAGGGGAGTGAGGAAGGAATGTTGGGAGGGAGAGAAAGAGGGGGTGAGGGAGGGAGGGAGGGAGGGAGGGAGGGAGGGAGGGAGGGAAAGAGGGGGGTGAGGGAGGGAGGAAGGGAAAGAGGGTGTGGATAGGCAAGAAACAGCTAGACACAGGATCAGTTAATAATCAATGGTTCGTACCCTCATTAATTAACAAATAGTCAGAAACTAGAACACTTTACTTATGGGTGGTGGTGGCGCTGGTACTGGTGGTACTGGTGGTGGTGGTGGCGCTGGTACTGGTGGTGGTGGTGGTGGTGGTGGTGCTGGTGGTGGTGGTGCTGGAGGTGGTGGTGCTTGTGTTTGAAGTGACGGGATGGTGTAGATAGAGGTAGTGGGAATGGTGTCGATGGAGGTGGTGGGAGTGGTGTGGATAGTGATGTTGGTAATAGTGAGAAAGATTCAAATGGTCATATGAGAGATAATGTTATCTGTGATGATGGTGTTTGTGGGTATATGTTGTGTGCAGTGTAGTAGTTAGAATATTTTGAATTGTGATGAGGGGTAATATTAGCAGAGGGTGATGGTGATGGATTTAGTAAAGAGGGTAATTGGGATGATTTAAGAGAAAATAGTGAAGAGATGGTGGTGATGAAAGTGGTAAAGTGATAGTGTGGGGATGGTAATGATGGCGATGGTGATAGGAGGGTGGTGATGGTGTGGGGAGGATGGTGATGGTGGAGGAAGAGCACACTATCAGGTCAGTGTATGAGAGGAGATATTAGACAGAGCCAGTGAGTAGAGACCAAGATGCAAAAACTAGTTCGCGATGCCCCAGAGAGAAAGTAATAGATGGTGAGCTGGTCTTACACACACACACACACACACACACACACACACACACACACACACACACACACACACACACACACACACACACACACACACACACACACACACACACCCTAGGGGGGCCTCGTAGCCTGGTGGATAGCGCGCAGGATTCGTAATTCTGTGGCGCGGGTTCGATTCCCGCACGAGGCAGAAACAAATGGGCAAAGTTTCTCTCACCCTGAATGCCCCTGTTACCTAGCAGTAAATAGGTACCTGGGAGTTAGTCAGCTGTCACGGGCTGCTTCCTGGGGTGTGTGTGTGTGTGGTGGTGTGGGGAAAAAAAAAAAAGTAGTTAGTAAACAGTTGATTGACAGTTGAGAGGAGGGCCGAAAGAGCAAAGCTCAACCCCCGTAAAAAAACACAACTAGTAAAAACACAACTAGTAAACACACACACACACACACACACACACACACACACACATATGCGCACACACACATACAACAACAACAACAAATGACCCAACAAATGGCTACTAGAGTTTAACTCGAGCAAGTGCAAAATGATGAAGATAGACATAAGGAGAAGGAGGCCAAACACAAGGTACCAGCTGGGAGAGGAAATCCGTCATGAGTTAGGACGAGAGAAAGATCTGGGGGTTGATATCCCACCAGACTTGTCTCCTGAAGCCCACATCGTAAGGATAATATCAGCGGCGTATGCAAGGCTGGCGAACATAAGAACTGCCTTCAGAAACTTGTGTAAGGAATCATTTAGAACCTTATATACCTCATATGTCAGACCAATACTGGAATATGCGGCTCCCGCCTGGCGTCCACTTCTAGTCAAACACAAAAAGAAATTAGAAACGGTTCAGAGGTATGCCACCAGGCTAGTCCCAGAGTTGAGAGGAGTGAGCTATGAGGATGATTACTGGAACTGAACCTCACGACACTGGAAGACAAGAGTTAGGGGAGACATGATCACAACCTGCAAAATTCTCAGGGTAGATAAAAATAAACTGTTTAACATGGGTGGTACGCGAACAAGGGAGCACAGGTGGAAACTGAGTACCAATAAAATTGACGAATGTGTCTTTGACATCTGGTGTACAAAATTATTACATAGTCCATATCTTGTGCAGGACTGCTACAGACTGGGAAGGTCCATATCTTGTACAGGATTATTACAGGATTACCACACACATAGTGAGCCCGACGGCCCTATATTTTGATAGCGATCTGTACACCTCTGCGAGAAGCTCTCCACATTTCGAAAGTCACTCCCGCAACATTTGAACAAACACACAATTCGTTCCCCTAAATAAATTTTCAATTTGCTTTCCCGAACCAGCTCGCCATTGGTGGATCCCTGCCCTGTGAACTTAGATTGTGTCTTTAGAGTATAGGAATTTTACTAATGTTTTTCTGATATGTTAAAACAAATATGTTCTTCGTTATATATTTATATTCTTAATTTTTAAACTTTATAAAAGGTTTCTTGCAATTTGCCATACTTTGTCAATAAACTTTGTATAGCTTAAGTTGAAAGCTGCAAGATATATGCGAGGAATTTTATAATCAATATACTCCTAACTGCATATTTGTAGGTTTCTCAAATGCAGTGAATAAAACACATATTGTTTCACTGTCATAGTTGCTTTATTAGTAACGTCAACTTCCAACGATTGATGAGTTTTGTTTACAAAAGTCTTATAAATTATATTTATATTTATAAATCAAAACATCCAGATTAGATAAATATTTAGTGTAATTTTTAGGTGAACTTAGCGCAGTGTTAATTAACTCATTTTGTGCCTCGCAAGCGCTTTGGTCTGGGTTCGAGTCCTAACCGGGGATTGTTGTTGTTGTTGTTAAAGATTCGCTACCCGGAACAAAGTTCCAAATAGCACGGGCTATGGTGAGCCCGTAGAAGCCGTGGAGGATTGACTAGGCGCCAGTTCTGTACTGTACGCCTCTGTTCACCCAGCAGATTAACAACCAGTAATTTGGTACCTGGTTGTTAACCGATTGGCGAGTCAGCATTCCAGGAGAAACTAATGAGTAAGACTTACCATGAACTATGGGAAGGGAAAGCTCTTAGCCTGCTAACAGGAGTCAGCGGTCGTCTGTTCCTCTACCCACCTGTGTAAAAAAATAAGATTTAAATGTTATGCCAAAATTAATACAGTTCATCATATTAATACCATGCGGTACCAGAGGGCCCACTTATACTAATTGTTATGTTCAAAAGAATTTCAGGAATAAATTGCGTTCAACTGGAGAAACAGGGTCGCCTATCATCATCATTACAAATTTTGAGTAGAGAAAACATTCAGTGATCCATCACTGAAAACAACGTTATAGGTAGCAACATAGTCAAGAACTTAGAAGCAATAATAGAAC